AGAGAGAGAGAGAGGAAAGCAGAAGAATCAATATTGCCCAGGTAGGATTACAAACACATAAATTAGCCATGATCAGGGCAAGCCAGCCAATCATAAACGAAAGCTTGTGGAATCAATTTGATGTTATAATATCAAACTATCAGGTACTTTGAAGTCTTTTGACCAAATTTATTGCTCTTTGATAAGAGATGGAAGGATGGGGCTTCCTAGGTTTCACACATTAAAAATATTTTTTTAATATTAAGAATAAAAAATATATATTTTTATAAAGGATAAGAGGCTAACACTATATTTGAACTTAGAATCTTACAATAAAATTATCAAAATTTTTACTAACTAGGCTAATCAATATTTCAAAAATATATCAAATAATATTTCGAACCTTTAATCTTTGATCAATCGATTGATATATAATCACCAAATTCATATTTATACGTTTAATAAAAAAATTTATCTAATAAAGCCTCAACATTGATAATCTTAAAGATTAATCATAATTTTTTAATTTAATTCAACATCAAAGTGAACTAAGATTAAGATGGACTTAAACTAACAGAATAATATATTCAGATTGCTATAAGTATTTTGTACTAATAATTCAAACTCAATGAAACTATATTAAGGTCGATCTAGTATCACATTGGATTGTGACAATAGGTCGATCTAGTATTGAAACATAACGAGGAACTCAAATAAGAAATGATTCCTAATACTAAAATTAACTCATGAGTAAATCACTATTAATTTTAACTTAACTCTTTATTCCAAAAAGATTTCTCAATGGGAGACATCTCTTCCGATTCTTGATGTAGAACAAAACAGCATTATAGATGTAGAACAGATAAGGATTAACGTGCTCACATTACACTTCTATATCATCATTTCTTTCCAAGACAAAAATGTTGCCTTTATCATCCCTTCCTATCCGCATTGACTCATCCACATATCTAAGAAATGCTAAGGTTCAACTTTTTCATCAGATTTATTTCTTTTGGAAGAATATATATATATATATATATAAAGGATACGTTATTTCAAGCCAACCTTGTGGATTGAAAATGGCAAGGAGGAGGTCCAAATTCTTCTCGAAGATCTTCATCAACTGCCCAATTCCAGTGAATTAACTCAGAGAAAAAAAAATATTTATTACCTGAGAGAAAGCCTTAAAATTAACATACACACACTACGCTCTTTACCTGATCCGGAGTGATGTTCGATCTCTCAAGTTTGATGTCTACTCTCTGCAATAGAAGATCGGATATGTCGATGAGTTTGACAAAGTAATTTGATGTTCAAAAAAGATTGACTCGTGTATAGCTCCAGAGGGTAGCAAGAACTCTTACAGTTTTGGATGCAATCCTATAGGAAGCCTCGATCGTCAGCTGCCCTGATAGTAGTTGTAGTCCCCTCAAGTTGAACTTAATCACATTTGTTGCCTCCTCCTTTTGAAGATAATGCAGATTTAAAACTCCATTCTTTTTTCTTGAAAATAATTGAGCATGATTTAACATATCGACCAAAGAATATTTTCTTTACAACAATAGACATAAAAGAAGATCAGATATCCTACATGCTGCAACATGTTCCATACTTCACCTTTTCTTCTTTTGCTTTATACTGTATGAAATCAATTGTGAAGATGCTAAGAACCTCATTTCACTTAACCAACATGGAGTTGCATTGATAAGATTTGGTACTTGTGATTAATGAACCCAAGAAGAAATAGAGTGAGAAGAAAACCTGGAAAGTTATAACTACTATCATTGTTCCTTAGATGTAGGTGAGATAAAACTCAGAGAACAAATATCTCAAAGTTCAAGTTAAACTTTCTTTAACTTTACCTTATAATCTATTTAGATTGACTAAAATAGTAAATAATGTTTTTCTTTTTTCTAAAGGGTGTGAAGAGGGGATTTGATCATAAAATTATTGATAATAACTTATTGGCTAAACCAATTGACAATTTAAAGGATCTATTTGCTAAGGCTTCGAATCCTCAACCATGAGTAAGTAAATCTGGTAATGCCACAACTAAATCAATGTTTTAGGTGTATTAAAATTGTGAATTGAATCTTTGGTAACTCTAATACATTACCATGAGATCAACATTTGAAGTGTAAAACTTGTTGGCTGAGATTTCAAAGGTACATTAATAGAATTCATGGGATGAGGCTTTGAACTCTTGACCATTGGTGTTCAAATAAATGTTTGAAGCAGGGTTTGCCGTACCGAGCCATACCGCCCGGTACGGGCGGTACGTACCGGTCCGAGGTACTGTAGCACTGTAGCAGTGCTACAGTACTCGGTACACCTGGGTGTACCGCTCGGTATACCGTACCGTACCATACCGGTACCGAGCCCAGGTCGAAACTCCGGTACGCTACGGTATTGCGAACCTTGGTTTGAAGTGTTAAAGACATAATCTTGGTGCCAATCACACATACTATATAAGCTTGATTATGTGTAGGCTTATGGTTCTTGTCAAATAACAATCAGCCAGACCCGACAAAAAATAAATAATCCCGATTTATTAAAACATGTTTTCACTGCAAAGTAATGGAAATTGCTTTACCTTTGCAACATTGATTATTTGGAAGAAGTCCCCAAGGCTGATGAAGCCACGCAAACCAAGCTTTGTTCTTGTGGAACCTAATATTGAAATTGTGCTGTAAACAAGCTTCCAGCATCCATCCACCTTTCTTTTTCCCACATGGTCAGTATTTGCAAATATTTTAAAGGTAAAACACATCGAATAATTCATCAGTAAACTAAGATTGCATATTCCTCTCCGGATTTTAGTTGGCTGAAGTTTCTTTCTTTTATTTCAATATGAATGGTGATGTAAATTAATTATTGTTTCTCAATGATCAAAACTTTGTTTATTTGGAATCCTCTCTCTCTATCTCTCTCGAGGATAACAATCGTTTCGCACGAGGAATTGTTGATCCCGTTTGTTTCTGCTATATGAATCGGGGTTTAACGTACCGAAGCATATCGCTCGATACGGGCAGTACATCAATGCACCTTAGTATATCATGTGTCGATATATTCAGTACAACTCAAGATATACTGTATCGATAGTTGGTCGATACATCAGTATGGACCAATAATACGAATCATGGTATGAACAACTAACAAAGGTTATGAAGAAATGATAGCTTATGTGCGATAAGTGAAGATGTCAGCCACTTTCACTTTGTAAAATAAATATAAAATAACAAACATAAATTAATAATATACTATCAGCATGATACCTAAGTTCCAAAGTATAAGCATAATTTGATTAATTTAAATTCATAATTGACAAAATATGCATGCCCATTGATTTGCAAAACATAAGCTAGTAATATACTATCAACATCGATTAATAAGTTCAAAAAAAAAAAAAATCTATAATTTATACCATAAATTAAAATTTGATTCATTGGATTCTAAAATTTGATTCGTCATATTACCAACCTTATCTCGTAGATGGTCGGTAGGATATGGCGTGGGGTTTCGGGACTCCAGCAGTTCCACAAACCCAGCAATCTCTGATTTCTTCGAAGATGTGGCTCCAAAGATCCCTCTGTCAATGCCTTGATGTATAATGTGATGTATCAGCGATCATCATCATCTTCCTCGCAGTCACCATATGTAGCTCGATGAGAGCGTGTTTCTTACCGGTCAATGCCTGGTAAAGAGCGGCTTTAATGTCATCAATGGTTCCAACCTCTGCTGTAGATGATGGCCCATCTCTCCCATTGCGATTTGTGCCATCCGCCATTCCGGTAGCCCCTGTCGTCGATGCCGACGCAACCAGGGCCGATGCGGATCGCTTTCGAGATGAATGCCGTCTGTTTTGAGTACCCTTCGCGAGTCGGTTGCGGGGAAACGCTTCGAAGTTGCTCCAAGCCTGAGGAAGCGGCCGGAGGATGAGCGCAGCCATTTGGGGTCGGAAATGGCAGCAGGTGACATGTGGTGTTGGGCCTGCAAAAGGAGAAGACTTCGTGAGAGAGACAGAGAGAGAGAGAGATGAACACGCCCCGCCTGCCATGGTCTAATGGAGCAGCAGCAATGAGTGGCCATGATTCAAATAAAGAGGATAATGCTGGAATTTAGATATCGAGCTTTTTTTTTACCCCCAGAGAGATTGAGCTCCTTGATCGAGAGCTATGTTACACTGCTCCACCGACCACAGATTCTCCCAGTACAGGAAAACCAAATCATACTGGTAAACAAGAACAATCAACTCAGGTTTGAACGCGATGTAGAATGCTAAGGAAACAACATTCCAGACACAAATAAGCTGCCAACGAGCGTCACTGAATAAACAATGAAAAGCATCAGCAGCAAAAGTGCCGACAATCCACTGCGTATCTGTCGCTTCATGAGGTACAGTGTAAAGACAGCAGCGATGCTGCTGCATAATGGGTTGATTACAGGACGCCTGGTTTCAAGGAACTGAAGGTACTCTATTATGAGATTGCAGAAAAAGTAAACCAAGCTCCTGATGAAGAGGCCCAGTAAGTAACTACGTCTTCATTTGTCTCAGAACTACAGCATCTTGCAAATACTTGTGGCAGCAGCAGCAGCAGCTCATTCATGACTACCTGCTCGATGAACAAAAGATGTTAGGCCATATGAATGGAAAAAAGCGAAAAGCTAGAGTGTCATTTCAGGCTGAGTCAATTAGCATATTAGTCAATACTTTGACAAATAACTGCTCCATGAGAACTATGCATAAAGAGTGATAGCAGCAACTCCATACTTTGTACACATTCTCGATAAAGAAATACATATATGCATACTTTGTACACATTCTGCAATTAGTGTAACACACCATGTATAAAATCGAACCACCATTTACATTGGAGATCTGAGCTCAAGAATGATATGATGCAATTCTGAAACTAATCATTCGGTTTCCTACTTGTTTGAGCAACTCAAAAATCTTCTGATGTTGTTTATGGTTGGTCGCACAGATGACGTTGACTACCAATCTTCTTTTCTTTGCCATCCAACTCTTTTCTATCTGATACATATCAGGGAAACTACTACAAATCACTTTCTTTCAGTTTAGATGATTGATCTGAAGTTGTTCGTCAGACTTCAATATCGATTTGAAAGAATGTCAACTCAACAATTACTTGTACTGTGTAAATGAAGTAACTAATAGATCCATAACAGTTCATATAATAGATCCATAATGTGAATGAAACACAGTTCATGGTGTTCCTTGTGGCATAAGAGGACATACAAGATACGACAGGGAGACAACTGGAGCAGACCACCAAAAGATGTCAAGTTTAAATAATATTACAATATACTAAACTAGGGAGGACTTTTCAATTTTATTATGTCATATTGCATTTTGTTATTGAACTTCAAATCAAAATAAAATAAGACAGGAAGACGTTGAAGCAGAATATATAGAAATGTTAAGTTAAAAGGAGATTACGATATACCAAACTTAGATAACATATCAGTTACACTTTTAAGTGACATTGTATTTTGTTGAACTTTAAATCACAAGACTACCACCCAAGACTAAGAGCTTGGAAGATTACATCTCCATAGTAGGCCATTATAAAGTCTAGAATGAGTTTTGGATGATATAGTAATGGACTATATCAAAAACCTCCTAATACTACAAGAAAAACTGCAATAATGGTAGGAGTTGATTGACTGACAAAATATGTACATTTTAAAATTTTGTAATATTTTTACACCATCTGACAAACTTCTAGCCGAATTGTTTGTAGAGCATATGCACAGACAACATAGGATGCCTCAATCGATTATCTGTTATAGTAACAGAATCATTAAATTTCTTTTGGCACAATTTTTTTAAATTCCAAGGAATCAAGTTCAGTACAAGCACAACCTATCACCAATAAGACAGATCAACCAGAAGTACTTAACTGTGAATTGAAGCTCATCTTAGTTGTTATACAGAATAATAGCCTCAGAAGTGGATTAACCATTCATAAACAGAATGGACATGCAACAATTCATTTAACTCCAATCAATATTACATCATGTGAAGTCTTCTACGGATGACCACTTCCAAATATTCTATCTTATATGGAAAACAACTCCACTAAGGTTGATGCAGTTGATGCCGAACTACAGGAACAAGATGGCATAGCTAAAAGTTGAAGAGATACGTAGCTGCTAGCTAGAATTGCATGAACCAAGTATATACAATGGCATAAGGAAAAGGAATCTTCTAATTTTTTAAGGTCATTCAATGGGCCAGAATAGTAGCTAATAAATTGGAAACAATATTCAACGTGACCAAGTTGAAACAATTCCAAGGACAGTCTGATGGTGCATTGGTACTATCACTCAAATTTCAAAGAACTGTATATTATAAATAATATGGAGATTATTCAGATTCGATGACATTGAAATGAAGTATTTACACAGAAGAACAATATGGAGACTATTCAGATTCAATGAATATTGAATTGAAGATGAATAAAAGTGCAAATTTCCAGATGCATGTTGTGATGCAGCTCCACATATGGACTAGGTATCAGCATTCCTATGTAACACCTCAATAGTACTCATTGGTCTAGCTGAAAAATATGATAGGCCTGACCGCAAAGGGAAGTCAAACCAAGATTTTGGACACATATTTATGTCAGCAGATAAGTCAACATTTTGCTATTTTTGTGCTTGCGACAATCCTCCCTGCAAGGAACTACACATCAACGACTTAAATACATAGTTCCAGCTTTCCGAAACCAAAAATAAATATATATCATTACAAAAATACACATTTTCATAGAGCTTAGTAAATCCCATAGTGTTCAAACCGGTTCGAACCGACCCGTTAAGGGCCAAACCGAACCATTTTTTTGGTTCGGTTCGGTTAAAGGTAGTCCGAACCGAAACTGATTCGGATCTACCTAACTGAGCTGATTCAAAACCGATTAATTCGGTTCGGTTAACCAGATTATGATTTCAAGCAATTTAAAAAATATAATTTTTTTAAATGAACCGATTCAATTCAATTGAATCAAACCGAAATCTTGGTCCAATTGGACAACACAATAATATTTATAAAATTGAGCCCGCGTTATTTGTGAAATTGGGCATTTGGGCCAATTTGATTAATCGGTTTGAACCGATTAAAGTCTTAGAGCAGCGAACTCAATCGGATTGATATCTCTTCAATTAAAATCGGTTCGATTCAATTTGAATCAATTAACTAAACCAAAGAAGCGTACCCTCGAACCAAGACCATTTATAGCCTTCAAAATCGAATCATTGGTGAACCAGCTCGGACTGAACGGTTTTGAACCGGTTCAGTTCAGTTTTCCGGTTCAATTTGAACACCCCTACCTAGTATATAGAAAAATAATCATAGTTTATTATTGCTGAAAAATTCATTCCTCAAAAACCAAATGTTTTGCATGGTATGTGTCATCTTTACAATCTAGTCTATACAAGCTAATAGCATCAAACATTCATCCCTATGCTTTGCCATAGTGCCATCCATCTGAAAAAATCTGAAAACTATTTCTCATTTCGTCGTAGTGGAGAAGACAAATGTGAGTTGAAAAATTATAACTATGGAAATACAGGTAACATCAAATTATGATTAACCGACAAGGAGATAAGCACTTTTAGAAAGCAACAAATCAAAAATCATCAGATACACACAAAAAATGTGAACAAGCACACTCATACATGTATCTGTTTGAAATCCATAATTATATAAAAATAAGCATTTGCAGAGATGAAAGACCCCTTTGCTAAAAAGTAATCAATTTCGTACTTCCTAGAGTTCCTTGTAAAGTTCACCTACAAACTCATCAAGAAAAGCACAATTCTGAAACACAAGGACGGATGAAATTGCATTCTCTAGCAAAACAGTAAGCTAGTTATTCTTCATCTCTAGGAGTTTGTGCATAAAATAAACTCCATATAGCAAATTTATATGATTAATTGCAAGGATAAACCAAAACCTAATTTAACCAGCAACAGCAAGAAGAAGGCAGTGAGCCCTACCTATTGACATTGAGCATTTCCTTAGCCTCCTGCTCCTCTTCCATCAGTTCCTCACTCATGTACTTGCTCAACAGTTCCTTCTTCTTCTTCTCAACGACCATCCTCTCAATCTCCTTGTCGTCCGGAAGCGGAACATGTGCCACAAACTCCTGCTGCACCTTGGTCCTTTCCAGCTCCTCCTCCATCTCCAACCTCCTCTCCTCCTCCACGACGTCCTCGACCCCCTCAAACAGCACTACTTCAACGGCGGGGGCAGCAGTGGGCTCCACGCTCGCCACCTCCCCACTCTTCACCATCTTCATGGCCTCACTCCGGATGGCCTTGATGCGCTCCAACTCCTCGACTGCTCGGCGACGCATGTCGTCCTGGGCAGGGGCCTCCAGCTTCTCGAGGATGCCATCCTCGTCGTCGCGGTAGCCATAGTAGCTGGCGTCAATCCGCTTGTAGATCTCGTAACGGGTGCGGCGTTTCTTGACCTCCGGGGGCTTCTCGAAGAGCTCGCGGACTCCAGGGAGTTTCTTGGCGGCGCCAAAGTAGCGGTAGCCGGGGCCACGGCCGCTGGGGTTGGGGACGTCGATGATGTTGCCCTCGAGATCAGTCATCTTGGCTGCATGTTTGGTGTAGTTGGGGCCCCCGAGCTCGACGATGCGGCGCTCCCAGTGGACGCGCTCGCGGAGGAGCTTGTTGATCTCGTCGTTGAGGTCGCGGAGGCGGTGTTCGCCGAGGCCCTCGTTTTGTATCTCCGTCACCTTGACGCCGATCTCGCGGAGGATCTCGGAGCGCCATTTGTGGGCCTCGGCCAGGTCGCGGCACTCCGAGGCCAGGTAAGGACGGCGTTCCTTGGGCTTCCTCTTCTCCTCGTTCTTCATATCCACCCATCGATTCAGCATCGACTGCGCCTTCTCCTCGTTCCGAGCCATCACTGCCCGACGTCACCGGTAGCCGAGGAGATAAAAGAGAACTACCACCTGCGTCGGTGAAGAGCGGAGGATTGTGTTGGAGGACGGTGGGGCTCGAGTCGCCGGTGGTGGAGGAGATACAAAAGAAAACCTAGACGGGAGGATCGCGCGGTGGGTCGGTTCGATTGCCCTAATAAAATTGACACATTTTTGCAATTGTTTCGAAAAAATGTCTATTGGGGATTTTTATCGACGATATATTTTTTTATTACAAATATATATTATTATTATTATTATTATTTAAGATTATAAATAACAAAAAAACCTTTTAAGAAATTTAATATTCTAAGATACATCTCTGGATATAAATATCCTAACCAACTCTTTCTATACAACAATTTTTCATCAAAATAATAAAAAAAGATGTATAATCAAATGACCCCTAAAATCATAATGAATTAGAAAATAATGGATTTATAATTCATATCAAATATGTTTGTTACAAACTAAAATATACTCACTAATAATAATGTGCTAAAATTAAAAAGTAATAATCTTGTATTACTACTAAAATCAAATTTAATCGTCAATTTGACTTGACGAAATCGTCAACCTCGCTCGTCTTTCGAGCACTGTCGTGTTCGGAAGAGGAATCATTAAGTATTCAGACTTGGAGGACGGAGGAATTTATTCCAAGGCAAAGATCATTCGCACTGTTTAGATTCTTGAATTAAGCGATTAAAGTTGCAATATTTTCACTCTTTTTTAGTCAAAGTGAGGAGAAAAGAGCAAGGTGAGAAACCTAACCTACAATCTTACCGGCAATTAGGGTAAGCAACGGAGACGGAGAAGAAGATCGCGGACGGCACGAACACCACCATCCGGTAATAGTAAGCCACCTCCTTGTCCGTCAAATAGAACGGTCCACGGTGCCGACGAAGCTCCGATTCCTGGCCCACGTTCAGCTGCTGGGCCCGGAGGACCTTCCAATCGCGGCAGAACGGGCGCTGGATTGCCTCGCCACGAGGACGACGATGACAACGGCCGGTCCCACGCCCTCTCTTTCTCCTGGAGGCTTCGGCATGAACGCCTGGCGAAGGGCGTCGCCGATGATCGCCATCGAGGAGAACGCTTCCACTTGGACCGATCCGGGGATCGTGTCCCGGAGTCGATGTATGCTGGACTGGGTTGATCGGACGAGGTAGGAAATCGAACCGTAGTAAATAATATATATGTATACATATTTCATTTTTCATTGTCGATTTTAGTGTCACGATTTCTTTTGCAAAAAAAATATTGTGATTTAGATGAGATGAAGTATTGAGGATGCAATTTTGTCCGTCGGGCATTTCTATTTATTCATCTCACTTTTGTATTTTTCATTTCAACCACAAAATATCTCATATATTTAGATGCATATGGTTGGAATGAAAACGAGGCTATTTACTAAGAAAATTAATCCTGTTTTTAGAAAAGCGGAAACACCGATGAATCGCCCTTCTTCGCCGCATAAGAGGACGGGAATTCGAGTTGGGCAAACGCGCATTTCGTCGGTCAGGGATTTCCTTTTCGCCGCCCCGGACGCTCGATTCCTCCCGTTTCGATCGTCCGCGAAGGAACGCCTCCGGTTGTATTGGTCAGAATTCGGTTCTATTTCCATCGAAATAAATCGTCTGTTGGTTCGGCTGTTGCTTATGGTTTCGAGGCTGCAGCGATGGCGGGCGCGCTTGTGGATCGAGCCACGAGCGACATGCTAATGCGGCCGGACGGGGCGATGAACGTGCAGATCTGTGATATCCTCAATCGCGATCCGGGGTATGCGTTTCTGCTTTGCCCTCCTCTTATTCTTCGTTTGTTCGTCGAGTCTTTGGAGATGATGTTAGTGTTGCATCTCGTTTTGTGAATTGTTTTGAGGTGATTGTTAGCTGAGCTGTCTTTGTAATCATTGAATCACCCGCTTTCATTTCCCCCGTCGCTTTACGGAGATTTAGTCTTGCTTTTTCGTGGACTTGCTTCTTTATTAGGTAAATTCAAGCGTAAAATGGTGCTTTGATTTATAATAAATAAAAAATACTGATTAATGTTACCAAATTCTTATTGTATTAAAGCAAGCTTAGTTAGTATCCCATTGGATGTTTTAAATTCAGCCACATTTTAGACTAAAGATGCATTGTTTTTGTTCATAATAATGATATATCATTGTGCTTCAGCTGTTTGGTCCGAGTCAAGGAGAAAAATTGTTTAAGCATAAATGTTTAAGCAAAAATCATAAATTTTAAAATAGTTATTTCTTTTTTTTTTCCTTATGCTCATTAAAAAATTTCATGTCAAAGGACTGTAGGGTATGTGTCATTAATTCAGGTGAAATATTTATGATGCTGAAATTAGAGATAGAGTTTAAAGTATAAGTATGATCAATTGTGTTTTTTTTTCGGAATAGTGATATTTAAATAATTTGTAATAACAAATACGGTGATATTTATGAGAAATAATATGGAACAATTGGCACCGGAACAAATTGAAACCTTAATTTGGCCTGGTGAAGTCGATTGCACATTGTTGTGATGTAGTATGTTGCTTATGATTGTGGTTTCTCCCTAATTGTCATTTATTGCTTCAAAAGTTCAGTTGGTGAAGGTCATAGTTGGGTTGTCATAACCAGAAAATGGCACTACTGAAATCAGAGCTATTTACGGGAACTTAGTAGTCTAAGGAAGAGGCTAGCATGATTAGAGTGAATAGAAGATATCTTTAGCATAATCTGTAAGTCTGCAAGGTTCCTTCCAAACTTAATAGTCAAAGAGGCTGGCATGATTAGAATGAATGGAACATATATAGACGATATATGCGAAAATTTTCATTAGCATAATCTATAAACGGGATAAAGCGTACTTCTGCAAAGTTCCTTCCTCTTTTTGGATGCACTTCTAATTGATCCTTTACCTTTTTCCTTTTTGAATTTATCAGTTTGTGATCAGCTTTTCAAGTAGTTATTTTTCTTAAGAAAGAAGGTAAACTCTGATGCTTTTGTGTTGTTTGACATTTGTTGGGGTATAGGAATTGATTGAAAGAGGAGTTTTAAGTATCTCTATGTTGTCTCAACAAATTCAAGGATTACATAAACCCACCATGCCAGCAAGTGTTGATTAGTGCTTACTGTGTCAGCATAGAACTGGCGCTCCATCATGTTAATATTTTGAAGTGTACCTATGTAGCATTGGGTTGGCATATAATCCATTTTGGCTGGCATACAGAATGTGCAACTAGTGCTGATTGGCAAGATGCTGCTGGCATTATCAGCATCAAAGCTGTCATATAAGTGAACCATCTTTTACCTTCAAGCTTTGAATTCTATAGGGTCTGGTCTGAGGTATTTGGGTGGCGGTCCTAAGGATTTGCCAACTAGTGTTGATTGGTAAGAAGTTGGTCATCAGCATTAAAACTGTCATATAAGTGAACCTCGAGGTAACCACATCTTTTACCTTTTAGCTTTGAATACTGTCAAGTCTGGTTTGAATACTATAGAGTCTGGTTCTTACATGGTGGTACTAAGAATTTGATGGGAGTGCCTTTGAACGAAAGTAATATGGTAAGATACTGTAGCGACTCAAGGCACTTACTCATGAGGTCGGTAAACATAATTATGTATTGCTTTTTAACTGCATCATCAGGGATTTAATTGTTGCAGTAGATGTGTTCCCAAATGGCTTACTGTTTTACGCAATTCCACGAAGAAAAAGAAAACCACTAAAATGTTCTCAACTGAATTTTGATAAAAATATTATAGGATACATCAAGTTTATGGGCATCCAGTAAAATATGATAAAGTAGGTCAACTTTTCATTGGACATCATCGCGTATTGCATTGACTTGAGTGCCTGTCCTTCCAAGCTCTCAACCGAATGCTGTTATATGCATCACTTGTAGGCTGCAATTCCAAACTGAAACAATTGCAAGCTGTAAATATTGATCTTGGCACCTAACATTTCTAAATGGAACATAATGCAATTGTAGGAGTACATAATCAAAGGCAAGAAAATATCTTTCCATATTTAATAACTTTTTGCATGTTACATATTCTATTAAGGTCTCTAGTTGTGATACCTCTTATGGCTCTTTCTATCATTGGCGTTTCAAAGAAAAATAAAAAGAAGAAAGGAAATAGAAATGGGTAGCTGATTGCTAAATCCGATCATGTTTGTTAGCATCTGATGGTTCACCTAGGAACTTCACATTTGTTTGCTTATGTGATGGGCCAGTCCACTTACATGTATTACGAAGAATATTACAATACTGATTTTTTTTTTCTTTGGTTACCAGGCAAACTAAGGATGTTGTTAAGGATCTCAAAAAACGTATTGGGCATAAAAATCCTAAGGTTCAGCTTCTTGCGCTAACAGTAAGTACTTCAGATAGTTTGGCTTCAAATTGTTTTATGTTTTTCCAGAGTTATATTTGAGGCCTACATGAAGGAGCATTTTTATATTTTTTATTATGATCACTGTTTAGTTATTAATCATTTTTTAATTCGAGATGTGGTATTCACAATGATTTCTTAAAGGAGAAAGGGCCATGAACCTTGCATTTATTAGTCATGTGTCATTGTGGTGCCTAATACAGTTTGCTTTTTTGCTGTTCAGCTAATTAAGCAAAATTTATATCTTTACTGCATTTGATTCATTTTGGTTACTCTTCACATTTTGAGTTTTTCTGTGTTCATGTTGTTTTTACAAAAATGAACAAAATTTGTTTCTTGCAGCTATTGGAAACAATGATAAAAAAGTGTGGTGACATAATCCATATGTATGTTGCTGAGAAAGACGTATTGCATGAGATGGTGAAGATTGTAAAGAAGAAGGTCCTAACTGTTCATATTTCAGTATTTTGCTCATTTACAATCTTTTATTTTTATGAAAGCTTCACTAATTCCTGATTATTTCTGTACAGCATTCTGATTCTCATGTTAAGAAAAAGATACTTATATTAATAGATACGTGGCAAGAAGTTTTTGGCGGTCAACGAGCAAGATATCCTCAATACTATGCAGCGTATCAAGAACTGCTGGTAGGCTTTTGCATGTTAATTATTTAGCCACCTTCCATTTTATATTGCTACTAAATGCATCGTTGGTATTTGATTTTTCAATTCAAGATATGTTTGGAACAAACGAAAAAATATGTGACCCAGTTAAGTTTACGGAGAAATTCTTGTTGAATTATG